CCCTTGATTTATTATCAAGGAAGAATCAACACCAGGAGTCTGAAGCCAATGATGCAGTAAAACAAGGTTTGCACCAAACCAACAAGTTTGTACACACCAGTGTGACTTCTGGGTGACTCTGCAATGGGTAGCACTGAGGCAACCCCCTGCTGCAGAACCCCAGTGGAGGGACATGTTGTCTTCTACAAAATTGGCAATTGGCCAGTGAGTGCTACTACCAACGCTAGTGTTGAGAAATCTGCCAAAGTTGCTCCGTGGTGCTGCATGAAGCCAGCTTAAGTGGGCCACATCACAGCCCACATAAATCACCTGCAAGTGACAGTTAAAACTATGAGCCTGAGGGTCAATTCCAAGCACATCATTACACAGAAGTTTATGTGGATCATCACTGCACATTCCAGGAAATTCAGACCGGTCAAAAAGCATTCATGAGCACTATCACTCAACTATTGTATTAATTATTTAGTAGGAATTAATGTCTCATCTCTACTCATTAATGCACCAGAACATGCTATTCAATACTAGAGTATCTGCTATGGTAAAAGACTGAAACCAAAACAGTAGCCTGCAGAAAATCACACATTCACTATCTATTTCTTTTATATGGCCAGTGATCTGTTTCTTATGTCATGATTTTATCAAAAATATTATCTGAAACCACTCAAAATAGCACTAAAAAAGACTTTTAAAACATTGCAATCACCCTTGTGCCTCACACCATTAAAGGATAAAAAGGTACAAAAATATATCTGCAGCGCTCCTAAACACTGTGGAAGAAATAACAGCATCAGCTTAAACATCAGTCAAATCTATCCTCTTTCAGTAAAGTCATTTTGTACCTAATGATACCAGAACCACTGCTGGTGAGTCTGATATTAGTCAGCGTATGATCTTGGCTCAATTTTTAGACATTTGGATCACCTCTTGCAGCAATGGAAAATGATGAAGCTTTTAACTGTTTTTCAAAGGAGGTTGTGTGTGAAGGAAGAGTTGCATCAGCTGAATGACACCAAGCTGCTATGGAAGCTGAAGTTCTATGTAAGTGCTAAATAGAAAATGGTGGAAACAACTTACAGCTTTTGAAAAATATCTATGGATACATTTCCAGTGACTAGGTATCTTGAAGTAATACAAACAGCTTTTGAGCAAAGAATGAACACACATGCGCTCAGAACACCATCCTCTTAAAGCTCAACACTGACTGACTGTAGTTTTTTCCCTCAAGAATTTTCTATTGCATTAATCAATACAAATCATGTATTTCTAGGCATTTGTGAATATTATCTCTCATATTCACAACACAAAAAGTTACAAACAAAATAACTATGCATTAGTTCTTACAAAATACCTCTGACCAGTATCACCCCATTCCTATAGGTAATGAATTCTTTCAAAAAAAAATATAGCTAGCTAATTTACTCAGAATCACACACAAAGTATATGGTAAGAACAGTAATTGGATCTGAAAAAACATGGTGATCAAAAGGAAATCTAGATAATAACAGGAGTATCAAATGTTCAAGTTCAGAAGAAAATAAAAAGCAATTCCATTTGCAATTTCTATCAGGGCTGCTAAACATTTATAAATTGTTCCAACACACCAACCACTCTTGTTATGTCACTGCTACGAATCCTGCACTCACAAAAATACATAACATTCTGCTCACTTACAGCAATTTGACAGAAAAACAAATGAGAACAGAAAACTGAAGCTTTCTCATGCTGCTGAGTGCAACAGTCATGAAATGAAATCCTGAATCCTAACTTTGAATTGCCTTTTATCAATAGACAACACTCCCTAGAAAATACTTATATGATAATTATTATTTTCTAGTATTCAGCTTACATGAAAGTTAACTTGCTGGTTCTGAATTCAGAAAAAAACCAGTGAATGACAATTGTAAAAGCAAAATATTACTGAAACACTATTGACTTTCAAACAGTATAAGGAAAAATTAATTGGCAGATGTTTTACATAGCATAATTAACAGTTCATTTCAATGCACTGTAACCAGATTAAGATAATTATGCTTAGAAACAGAAATGTAATAATGATAAATTACTAGTTTTCATATTACGGTCAATTTCCTACATTCCAAATAATCACCACATTTAGAAATAGGTGCATCTGTTCCATGCTGTCATCAGCTATACAAATGGCACAAACTCGTGGCTGGGTGAAACAATCTTTCAACCAAGATACAGGAGATTCCCCTGCTTCATAAGTAAACAGCAAGCCAGCTCTGTTCATAGGCTAAACAGAAGGCAAAACCAGCAGTCCTGTTTTCACCAGGGCACAGTTACTGAATAGAAGCTGAAGACGCTGGAGAGAAAAGCCTGAATTCTGTGAGTCGAGCAAATTACAAAATCTCCTCATACGGAAGTTCAAGACTGAGAATATAAAAATCTGTATTCTGTGATGGCGTGCAAAATATGAAGTTATATGCTTTCTGTATGGGCTGTAAGAAGTAATTCTGTCAAGGATTTCAGGACACAAATTAAGCTGCATCCTCGTGCCACAACATTAATGTAAACCATTTCAAAGTAACAGTTACATGAAGGTAACCCCTGAGCATTAAGAATTTGTTGATAAATTAGGCTTGATATTTTGAGATTTTATTTCAGGCCTTCCACTTTCAAGGTTGTTGGTTTTTTTCTTTTTTAATTTCAAAGGTGCACTTTTCTTCTATTTCCCCACAAAGACATAAACAACAAAAAAACCTCACAACCATTTTGTCTTTAAGTTAAAAACAGACTTGCATTTCACCTCTCTCATTTCTGTAGCTTCACTGCTTTCATCGTGCTTTTTTGTTGAGGCTTTTTTTTTTGCTTTGCTTTCTACTATCAAGTCCTTGACACTTGGAGACTAAAACCTCACAACTAACAGCACAAAGATCAGAGCAGGCACAGAAATAGAAATTGCAAGATTAGAAATCTCAAAGACCTGAAAAGTAGACAGAGGAGAAATAAATAGGTATTGAGGCAGAACCAAGGAGAATAAAGGAAAGCAATGAAAAATACTTTCAAAAATAAGAATAAAATGTATAACTGTATTATTAATGTGCAGCTGAGGAAAATTAGTTCTGTAGAACTGGAGCATCACAGTTATCACACGCAAAGTAGACTGGAAGAAGGGTGGTAAGTGTAAAAGCATTGTGGATTATAAATACCCAATGACACCTTTCACATTTAGTCCATTTTTATTCCCACATTGGAGTAGGCAATATAAAGAGACCTAGTGTTCCTACTATCAATCATTGTTGTTCTGAGCCTTCAAATAAATAACAAAAGAATCCCAACCCCTAATGAATGAAAAACACAAGACATTAGGCAATTTTTTTTTTATAGTGACCAGGTTTCTAGCTTCATTCCCTCATTAACCCCATATGTCTTTGTATGTTTTCCAGCTCATTTCCATATTTCCAAGGCTTGCTAGGGTTTTCTGGCTGTTTTCTTCAGAAATCCCTAGCTACTCATACACTGTCTGTCCGTCCTGCATAATCTCCTGGTTAACAAGCAATTTTTACCTCACATGCAAAGAGAACAAATGAGAAATACCTATTTATTTTTGGTCTTTCCTTAGATGGGTCAGGGTGTCGGTTCCAAGAATGCCAGAGAAAGGCTTTCACCATTGAATTTGCTCCAAAACATTAACTTTGTAAGAGATAAGCAGCTGATTTCTATAAACACCTTGTAGGAAATCTGCCTTATCTTAATGAGCTTTTGGGGCAGAATTTCAGCTCCTAAAACCAGGACACTTTTATAAGGCCGCACCCACACATTATTCTCAATGGTATTCAATTACAGCTAGAAATACTATCCTGGGCTTTGATCTTTGATCTCCTTGCATATCAGCAGTACGTGGTATGAAACCATGAAGATAAAAACATACTGTACTCTAATGAGATGCTAAAAAGATCCTGCAAGGCATGTCTGAAACAATGGTACATCCATGTTTCACAGAGGCCTTCTGCAGATCACTTTCACACTAGGACACCAAAAGCTGGAAGGATAAAAGTGAATATTGCTATGTTCAACCCAAATGCCCGTTTTAACAGTTACATTCCACTGGCCTGCAAAAATAATGGTATCAGCCAATGTACCCTTGACTATCTCACTGAGATGGCTCTTATATCTATTCACTTAGTCCTGACTTCTTTTTTTTCCCAAACACCATCTCACCATTGGTGGTAGGGCATTCTGAAGCAATTGGACAAGCTCTTCCTGTTTTTCTGCAGCTTAAATAATTCCAAATCCCCACATGAACTATCTCAATTTCTCCATAATCAAATTTCTTATTTAATTTTTAAGTATGTACTTAACTGAATTAAGCTTCTTGAAATACGTTTTTAACTAAAATACAATGCACCTTTAAGGTAATATATTATTGTTATATCCTCTGTTAATATTTAATAAAATAAACCTTGTATTTCAGAAAATTTTTTTATATGTAATAGTATATTGTTTATTGGATTGATCCTGTTCCACTGACGAAAGTGAGGTATATAAACAATATAGAGCCTTGCTGACACATCACATACAGACCACTTTCAGCCTTCACAAAGTTAAAGCTGATACTATTTCCCTACAGTTTCTTAAAAATAACTAGCACTGGTTTGCTATGAGGATACAATCAAAACTTAAACCTTAGCTGCCTAATTTCTGTCTCTTGTTTCAGTCATATAATCATGATTAAAACAATTAGTTTCAATATGTTACCCACGCTAACAGTCTACTCTTATCATTTAACTTCAGGTCTGTGGCTGTATATAAAAGATGTAATTTCAAGTAGCACTTGAACATATATAATAACTTAATCGTATATAATTTTTAAACAATATCTGAAATTACATTAAAAATGCATTTAAAATTTAAAGCTACAGAGAGCCATCTACAGTATATAAGGTGAAAGAAGGATCTGTAAAACTTTGATGGAGAAGTGCCATATCAAGTTAAAAACATTTGGGAGTCTTCCAATATGGAAAAGACAAAGCTCTTACCGTTTCCTTTGGAATTTGTGACTGGCTTTGTTCTGCATTCTAAAGGAAGTAAAAAAAATAAATAAGAACACGACTACATATGACATATACTATCTATCAGCAAGGGGATAAACAAAGAGCTCTAATTCTGATGTGAAGTGGTAGTGAAAAAATGAAGGGTGTTTGTCACATCCCTGACTGAAAATTGTCTAAACAAGCAGTAAAAGAGAGGTGAACAAAAATAACTCCAGAGATCTTGTGGTAGTGCACCTGACTTTATTTTGTTATGGGGGAGATGATTATCTGGACAAGGAGAACCATGAGTTCTTGCACCATTTTCTGGCTGGTGGAATGTTCTCATTCAGGGATATTCTCCCCGGCCTTTCCCTTCTGCTTCAAAGTTTTCAAACAATGACCTCAGCAGTCCAGATTAACCCTTCCAAATATTTTAAACAAGTATCTATTTTTTAAGACATCCATTCTCATTTTAGCAAGGGATTCCCCTTTTGAGAGTGTTTGGATGAACCAGAACTACAGTGCTGGATATCCCAGGACAGGAGGGTTCATTCAGTTCACCAGATGGGACACTCCTGTACTTTCCATTCCTCACTTGTGTCTCAGGGTACACAAGACAGACACACATTATTGGAAAATACACCCCCCAAACAATTCTGGAAAAACACATAAGGAACTATGGCTCTTCCAAGCCCATAATAAAGTCCATTTGAACACTCAGGAGACACCTTGCTGCTGGCTGGTTGATCACTTTTGGGCTAACCAGCTATTTGTTTCCATTCAGCTGGGACACAATGAAATGCTAGGGTTTACTGGACACTTTTGCTTTAGGTTGTTTTGAAGGAGATTCAAATCATAAAGCACAAAAATGTAGTGGCTAAGCAGTAATACAAACATCCAGTTAGCTTCAACCCGAAGCCAACAACCAGTAAGGAAAAAATGAGGAAGGAGACAACTACCAGAAACATGTAAAGCACATACATATACCAAGGGGCATATTAACTTGTAGGATACTGGAGGTAAACTCTGTCAGCTAGTCTCTGTTGATACTAAGAATATAGCTCTAAAATTAAATAACCCAAGCCAATCCTTCAGATGATTCCCATAGTCAGTAGCAGCTCTAAGAAAATGCTTCACAAGTAACATGAGGTAACCACAGTGCTACAGGAGCTCTATTTAATCAGAGTAATCCTCACCCATTTCACGAAGAGAGGGAGCAGGGAAGGACTATTTTTAAGAGATAATGTCCCTCTACCTCACATTAACTTGAACAAGCCCTAATAGGTTACCTATCTGGCAGTAGGTAACTGTGGTACTCTGGCGAAACACAATCATTCTTCCAGATCTCACTGGTTAGAAAAGCTGACTTCTGCCAATTTGATTTTATTCCCTGCTTCCACATTTTACTCACTTTAACCATGATCTGCTGCACTGGATAATCACATGCACATACTCCCCGACCTGATCATACAGGCTACAAAGATCCCATAATAACCTAAATGGGCTCAGTTTAACAATCATGTAAGTTTTAGCTACAACTACACATTCTTGTACATCTCTTCCAGACTATAATGGCAACATACATCAAAGACATTAAACTCCACAACTTTCCTGAGTGTATTATCTCCATTTTACTTAAAAAGAAACACAAAGATACTTGTTTTCAAAAGTCATTCACCAAGCCATAACTCAAAACATAAAATCTAAACACCTCTTTTTTTGGGATTGCTATCTGTACAAATGTTGGTAAATATAAAATAGTTTTAATATTGAGCACTCCTCAGCAAGCAACAGCAAGTCCTGCCCTTTATGAAATAACAAACGATTTTACACATACGATTTCTGAGATACATCTCATTCAGTCACTATTTAAAGCACACAAATGTAGAATATATGATAGAAATAGGGCAAGGATGCAAAGACAAATTGTTCCTAGGTGACCAAAGAAGGTTTGCACGTGAAAAACATCAACTGACATGACTTCAGATCATTCCCATCCCTATTTCAATTTTTTTTCCATAAAGCTAGTAAAAGTCCATGAGAGGAGCTGGTTGAAAAGACTTCTTCAGTTTTTTTTTTTAGGGTCATTTCTTACTAGAGAATAAAGAACAGCCCTTATGATGCGTTTTAGTTCAACACCTTCCCCAGCAATTCTGCTCCCGCTCTTTGACAGCAGCCAGCAGTGCGTATCTAAGAGTCCTTCATGTCAGAATGCAAACAAGTCCTTATGTAACAGAGGATCATCACACACATGTACTGTCAGATCCTCAAAACATCATTTGTTCAACTGGAGCTAAAGAAAAACACACCAGTTCAGATCTGATCTCTGATTACAAACACAAAGCCCACCTACTACCTGACTCAGCCACGACTGCCTTCCCTATGCTGGTCTTTGCCAAAATATTTGAGGGAGTATTGCCTGAGCCGCAGCAGGGAGGCTGCTGAGCTTGAACTCATTTCAAGGGGCTGATATGCTGTTATTTTAAAACTACTTCAAGTATTGCTATTAAAATCTCTGCGTTACTCACATTGCATCTTTGTATACAATTATTTCAACAAAAACTTGTGTCAAAATATTCATTAAAACTTCCTCATTTTACCACAGAAATAATATACACAAAATTAAGACATTTTCTTACTTCTAAGTTTATTTAGAAAACTCAAAAAGCATTTTCATTCACCTTTATGTAAGATAGTAATACTGTGAAAATTACAGCATAGGAACTTATAAACAGATGGCTTCCAATGTTCCAGTGATAAGTAGGGCATAATAGGATCTCAAATTATTTATTTCATTTTATGACAGCTTTCATTTCAGCACTTGAAGTCATGTTCCAAGAACATTAAGGTAAAAGTGAGGTTCATTTGCAACCTTCCCTGCCACTTTGACTTCCTTAGTTTAATTATAGTTTTAAAAAGTAAAAGGCTAATGTTAAATGTCTTGAAACAGCCAAACAAAAACTCATTCTCTTTGTATTCAAAATAACACAAATCCAATAGAAAAATGAAGCAATTAATTCATCATACTTATATTTGTCTATCTTCTCACAATAATGCAGCCAAATAAGTTATTTTTAGAGCTATACATAGCTACAATAATACAAATATTAAATAAGTTCAGCAGTTTAATTGAGTACAGAACAAAGTAAGACTGCTACAGTTACAGTCTACCTTTTCATAACAGAAATTATCTTGAATAATTATCAGAGAAATATCTGTATACACTATGCAAGTGGAGCAGGGACAGTACGAAACATCATTTTATTTCCATTTAATGTAAATTTCTCAGAAACATCTTCTGAATTGCCCTGCTAAATTAATAACTGCAGGGTTTCCATTCCACAGAGATTGCATTTATATTCAAAAAAGGCTACTATTTCTTATATCTTCGATTTTTGGATAGAAAAGTATTTACATATCCTGTTTTGGAATAATATTATATGCTCTAAAACATATTTTTGAGCAGGTAGTGGGATAAATGGCAGGCTTTCAAACACAGATTTGTCCTTATAAAAGATATGAAATAATCTACTTGTCTGCATGCATCCAAATAAAGTCTATGCAATACCTTCTATAAACATTTTCACTCAAAATAAAGCTCTCACTTATACAGTACCAAAAAATACTTAATTCCAATAGCAGATTTTGAAGAAAATATAAAACATGCAAGTAAAATATTTTAAATAAAACAAAATAGCTTTTTTTTCTTTTCCTTATATTCAGTGCTGGCCAGGCATGTTTACTAGCAGGTGACAAGATCAAATCATTTGCTCATACTGATCTAAATCTCTTAGCTGCTCTCTATTTTACGCACCAGTTCCCTTGGATGGAATGTTTCTTCCTGTCGAAAAATCAAAAGGCCAACAGTCCCTCCCATCTTGGTACTTCGCAGCAAGGACACAACTTCTTCTTGAGTTTTGCCTGTTAAATCAACTCCATTTACCTGTGACACAAAAAAAAAAAAAAAGTATTAAAAAACCCTCACTGGAGCAACCTGCTTATTAGCTTACATTACAGCTTTCACTTAACAGAACTAATTAAATGGCCATCCCTTCCATATAAATACAAATAACAAGCCAGACAGCTATACTTCACTCCTTTTCAGCAGCAACAGTATAATCCAGTGTACTCTATGGCCAACTAATCCCATCTACCAGTATTTCTTACAAGAATTTCTGCATAATAATCTTTTGGCAAAATCAATTTATGATCCAAAACCAGTCCTGTTTCCACATGCCTTGGTGTTATACCTACCTTCCAAATATATCTTGCACAACAAATTGTGTCAACAGTAGAAAGTAATTTTTTCCCCGAATAACTTTATAACTTTGGGGTAGCTACTCTTTATCTTGCCTCTGTTCAGCGATCCAGTCCCTTGGCCTCCACATGCCAGTTATCAGGACAGACAGGTATGGGATATACATGCAGAATTTCCCACTGTATGAGCTAACATCAGCAAGGGAGAAGCCAGAGAAAGACCAAGTAATCTCAGGCTTGCCTGTTCAGAAACGTTTTGGAAATGAAGGCAAATCAACTAAGGGTGCTAACTAAGCAAGTGAGCATGGTGCTCAGGACTCAGCAAACCATCTTTTTCCTTCCCTCATAAGAGATCATAGCTCACACTGTTGAGATGCCATAGCTGTCATCTTAAATGCTTCTCAGTCCCCTTCTACTCAAGTCATCTGGGTTACCTTGAATTACAGTAATTACAGAGGGCTATCCTCCAGCAACAATTCAAGCTGACTTGGCCAATTTTGCAGTAAAGTGAAGTTAGGGCACTGAGAGGCAGTTACAGCCTCAGCAGTACCTCCAGTGTCATTTGGCTTAGGGACAGCAATGAAGAGCTGTGGGTGGTAACATCTTATATCACTCCAGCTAGATTTGCAGAAAGATCTCTGCGGTGCACCTATCTAAGAGAAATTTTGTTCCCTTGAGGACATCCTGCCTTCAGGAGGCCTTGATTCTCTGTAGGACTGCCCTCCTCTTATATTCCTTTCACTTAATTCACTAAACCTTTCCAGGGCATTGCCTTCCATACTTTGCAACATCTTTGATAATTTCTGGTCTGTCACTCCATGCTGATTTAATTCTACCTACTAGGTAGCAATCATTTTGCTTCGATTCATTTCTAAGCAGAAATGCAAGAGTATGACAGTATATTCACATAAGGACATGTAAACTCATGTTTTTACAGTATGTCTGGGTCCAGCTCTTTAAATGGTTATGTACTCTTACCTAAAAAAAAATAAAGCCAAAAAAAAAAAGGGAAAAAAAAAAAAAAAAAAGGAAAAAGAGGGAAACCTTTTCCTATAACATAAAATATACAAGCCTTTGGAAGCGAAGTAGTGTGTGGGCACATGCCAAAACACAGACAAACAATGTATAACATTTCCTTACCTCAATTAATCGGTCTCCAGCTTTTAGTCTCCCATCTTGAATAGCTGCACCTCTCGGAAGGATGTTTTTCACATAAATTGGAGCAGAGCCACCAATTGGGACATCTCTTGAAGTAATGCTAAATCCCAAGCCTTCCGTACCTGCATAAGGAATGTACACTGCTAGTTAAAATGCACATTTTGTATTACATATTATTTTTACTGAGTAGAATGTACGTATACCGCACTGATGCAATCCATGAAAATACATGTAAGATGTAAGAATTACTGCATGGCAAAAAAAAGAAAACAAAAGGCATCTATAAGGAGGCTATAACTGAAGCACTGAGTCTGGGCACAGGTGGCTCAGCAGGCCCTCCCTGCAGCTTGCTGTTCTGATGATTTCCAAGTCACTGCCATATTTTCAACTTTCTATTTCAGATGAGCTAAGTGACAAGGAATCAGAACAAAAGCATATCTGATATCCTATCACTGTCTTCCCCCTTGTCAATCTGGATCTCATCAATGATCCTTTCTTTCTCTTTTGCAGTACTTTCAACAGCGACAGTCGGCCGATGCTGCTGGCCATGGGGCTTTGTCAGCTACTTATGGACACAGGCAGGTGACAGAACTGGAGCTCAGTGGTCTCATTTCTTCTGCTCTGAGGGACCTCAGTCTGTTTTCTTTCAATAACTCCTCTGCCCCAGGGCTTCACCCCAGCTCTCACTGGGTTCCACCCCACTGTCTGTTGTGAAGGCAGAGAGCAAACCAGGCTTCCACTTTTGCTGAGATATCCTGCTGTACATCCAGGTGACTGACTACACTTGGCTAAAACAGACTCAAGCAAAACAGAGGCATTTAAGATGATCTGGAGAAATTCAGAGAGGGTGTTCAGTCAGTACAGCAAATGACAGTATTTAAGAGGAATTATGTCCACAACTGGTCATTGAAGAATACCACCAGCTCAAAAGCTGAGAGGGCAGAAAGCTCATTTGCGATCCTCTCTGATGCAATTTGTCCAGTGTTAGCAACAACCCCTGACACTATAGGTTGAAAATTGTCACTCTCCCTGTCTCCCCAACATTACACATCAAGTGTAATGGACACTTAATCTAGCATGAAATCAGATGGCCATTGAGCAGAGAGCACCCCAACAGAGTGGCAGCACCTACAACTTCCATTTGAAACATCTCAGGTGGTAACATATTTAAGAAGGGGAAAGAAACAACTGCACAACAGCAGCCAGAGAGAGGAGTGAGAAAAAGAGCTCTGCAGTCCCAAGATCAGTGCAGAAGGAGGGGGAGGAGGTGGTCTAGGTTCCAGAGCAGAGATTTCCCTGAAGCTCACAGTGAAGACCATGGTGAAGCAGGTTGACCCCTGCAGCCCATGGAGCTCCACAGTGTAGCAGAAATCCACCTGCAGCCTGTGGAGGACCCCACACACCAGAGTAGAGGAATGCCCGAAGGGGGTTGTGATCTGTTAGAAGCCCAACATGGAGGAGGCTCCTGGCAGGAATTGTGGCCCCATGGAGAGAAGCCCACACTGGAACAAGTTTGCTGGTGGGACCTGTGACCCCATGGGGGACCCATGCTGGAGGTCCCTGTTCCTGAAGGACTACACCCAGGGAAGGGACCTAGACTGGAACAGAAGAACTGCAGCCAACGGGAAGGACCCATGTTGGAAATATTGGTGGAGGACTGTCTCCTGTGGGAAGGACCCCACCCTGCAGCAGGGGAAGACTGTGAGGAGTCCTCCCTGTGAGGACAAAGGAGTGCCAGAGACAATGTGTGATGAACTGACTGCAGCCCCCATTCTCCATCCCCCTGTGCCTCTGGGGAGAGGAGGTAGAAAATTCATGGGAAGAAGTGAGGGGTGGAGGGAAGGTGTTTTAAAACTTGGTTTTATTTCTCACTACCCTACTGTGATTTGATTGGCAATAAATTAAATTAGTTTCCCCAAGTAAAGCCTGTTTTGCCTGTGACAGTTATTGGTGAGTGATCTTCCCTGTTCTTATCTTGACTCACAAGACTTTTACTACATTTTCCCTCCCTTGACAAGCTGAGGATGGTGAGTGATAGAGCTGCTTGGTAGGCACCTGGTGTCCATCCAGGGTCAACTCACCGTAGTGTTAAAGCCTGAATTAATTTCTGTCTTACTGTTCCTCATGTACATTTGTTAAGTCTACTTTTTTGTTGAGTAGGTTAATATTCACACATGAAAAGAAAACAGAATTCAAATACAGTCACTACTAGTCTACCTACAGGTTTCTGAAATCTGCACAATGATATCTGATTAAAATTTAGTACAGTACGTTTTATTATCAAGATGTTAATCACATTAAGAAGTAAACTGACACAGGTGACAGGGCTGGGTGTAATACAACCTTTTTAAAATCTTCATCTAGAACATAACTAAGTGCTCCTGTATACAAAGTAAGGGCATGTAGTTCTTACTGTTCAACAAATCTGGATCAATTCCTCTAGGCTAACTATCATGAGACAACTTCCCTTCCTTCTGCAGCGTTTGAGATAGCTGACATTTGAATTTGAAAGTCTTCATCCACTTTCAGGCCAATATAAAATTTATCAGTGCTGTTACACAGAGAAGAAAAAAAAAGGTATTAGATCTCATAACATCCATTTTTCACTTAGGAGACCTCACAATTTTAATGATGCTTCAAACATTCATAGAGCCCTTTAACTTCCGGCAACATAGAAGATGATCTGCATAAGGATTTTTTAAGGCACATCTCATATTTTTACGGAATTTATCTTTTTCTCATTATAAGGATCTGTGTTGAACATTGCTCTGCTAAAATTTCCAAAGTAATATCTGAACAGGAACGCACTCCCAGGACAATATTTCATTATTAATAAGTTTAATCCCCATAGCCTGATTACAGCATCATTACAGATGTCTGGTTCACACACTCCACTTCAAACCCCCATGGAAAAAACAGCAGTTGAAACGTTCACATTACAAATGCACACAGGATATAAATTTGGACTGTGGCATTTTCTGCTGTCAAATCTCCAGAAAGCCTTTACCAAAGCCTGCAGAATACCACAAATCCACACTGAGCCTAGACATTAACAGAAGAAAATTCCAATTACTTGTTTCTGTGGAAAGAAGGGCCCTCAGCTGGGCTGTGTTTTATTATGATGCTCTGTGTAGCTTTGCATGAGGCAGCTTTTGGGTGCTATTTTCCTTTTACCTTTTCTCTTATTCAATCTGCTATTCATGCACCATAGCTGCTCTTAGCTGTAGGATACAGCTTCATAAGCTCCTGTGCTTATTATATATAAATTAGATGTTCACAAGACTGGGAAATAAATGGATACATCCAACCGAGGCCAAAAATAAATACGACTTCTGTGACTGAATTGATTTTAATTTTTTTTTCTTTTTATACACACAACTGATTTAGTTATCTCTATTCCATGCATTTCCATTCTCCTGTTGATAGAAATGCATATAAGATGTTAATATCTTCCTGCTGCTAAAGTGTTTTCAGTTCTCAGGCTGTAAAGCTGCATTATAATAATGAGGTAACTGTGCAAACACACTGTATGCTTCTCTGATATTTCTCATTTATACTAGTAATACAGGAGAGACTGAACACACACATACAGGCAGAATCACAACATGAGTAGAAAACAGAAGAAATTTTCATATTTTTGAAAACACGGGAGCCATCCTACACAAAACTTCATTTTGCAATGTTTAGGTTATTTTGGCTATGTTCACTTTATTAAAGATTTTTAAAAGGGTATTTTAGAAAGGTTAGAAAACATTTTCCTTCCTCTATAGCTGTCATCTCAACGATCAAATTACACCAAGTGATAATAACATTTAAAAATTACCCACTAATTTCTGTAATTCAAATTCTTAGGCTTCTTTGATAAATCAGCAGCTCTCTCGACAAGTTAGAGGTCCCCTTTTTTTTTGAATGTGATGCTGAACACGCCTTCTGAGGTCGCATTACCCTTCAAGAGCTCAGTCGGCTCTGAGCTGAAGACAAAGTAGTTTTAGATGAAAAGAAAGGGCAGTTACAATGGTAAAAGAACTATTTTGTACAAACAGAAGAGAGGCGGATTTGACGCTTCAGTTGGTGGTTTGGAGCAGTTAAAGCGGGGGTAGAGGAGATCCTTTCATATAATTTAATTAAACGTATTTTCAAAATTAACATCATTTTATTTGGAAGCAGTCTGATCATAAACTGACAGGATGTCAAAAATTTTACTACAGGCTACTAGACTTTCTTACCTCCCATTGACAAAGTACTTAATTTCTCACTAATGCTGGGATTACCTTCTTCATTGTGGAAAGAGTGTGTCTGGCATAATGTTTCTGTTTTCCTAAGACTATTCTGTACGAAAACTTGCGCATTCCTCACCCAGAACCAGCTGCAGGTCTAAATTCTGAGCAGCAAAACATGTTGCTAAACAGAAACACTGGCAGGATACAACACAAAAAAGCAAGCATCACGTCTGCACTGCCTGCAGTGTTTTCACATCCCTCTCAAAAGGACATTGGTTCAGAGACCAATAAGGAACAACCTAAGGACCAACACATCAATGTCTTATGACACTTCCCTTACAATTGTCTTCCCCTTCAGGACTGCAAGCAGAGCCAGAAGTAAATCCTGCTCTTCCTTCTCCTCTAATTTAAGAAAATACAGACGATTTCTCAGGTAGTTCGATATGGATCTTTCTGAATTAAAAAAATATTAAAAACCCTACACAAATGAGAGATAAAAACATTTCACAGAGGCAAAGAACATTTCAGAACAACCTGAATATGGAAAATTCATGTCAGTGAACAGTCCTCTGATCTCACAATCCTGCTCACATCTACAACTAAAGGATTATTAAGGAAAAGTGTGGATTCTTCATGAAAGACAAAGAACACATTCTCCCTTTCCTAAAACAATAAAGAAAGGTTGGTTGGTTGCATATATAAGCAGTGTGTGACACAAAATCACAAAAGTTACAAAATAAAGCATCCTCACCTAATGAAAGTACTAGATTATAAATGGACTCAGAATAAGGATAAAGAGAACATTACAATAAAACTAAGCAGAAGGGCCAAATGCCCTCTGACAATAATTGGAGCAGACACTGCCTTTTCAAGCATTTCAACTTCCTGCTTTTTCACAGGAG